AAATTAATTTCTAGCGACATTAAATTATGCTGCGTAAACCGAGTCAATTTCGTCGAGGGCTCCATCTATGGCCCAACTGTAAGCATTAATTAGATTTGGATGCGTTTACATCGAAACTTTTTCAATAACGTAGCTGAAATTTTCAGCGATTCTTATTCCAGTAGAGAACTACAATCCCTGGAAATTTCAACTCATTTGGACTTAAAATCGTTTTAAGCAATTTTGGGTGGTTTATCAATTTATCTGAGTTTTTTTTTTTTTTTTTTCATAGATTTCGGCTTCAAATCTGAGAATAATTTAGTGTATGGAGTTTGTGGGTTCCCAAATGACCATTAGGACATCAAATCTCAACAAAAAAAAAAAATTGAAATTTCATCGTTTTAGTGAGAAGGCAGCTTACCTTATGATTTAGATTTTGGAAAACTTTGAAAGGTCATAACATTTTCTAGTGTATGGGGATTGGAGGTTATCCAATAATCATTTAGGATTGAATTCATATTAACATGGAAAGGTTGAGGGAATAGTCAGAAATCGGAAAATACCAGTGGCGTACACTCGATCGACCTACGAACGAATGGAAAACCACACGAAAATATACAAAAATACACCCTGTACAAATAAGTGGAATATAGCGGAACTTATGGGTGGACCTGTGCGGGACGAGCGTAGCGAGTTCCGCAGCCATCTACTCACCAAAATATTATTGAACTGTTCAAGTAAGACATTCATCTGAAACATGTAGTTTTTAAACTAATGAGAATAACTCACATTTGAGTGAATCAGGTTAGTATCGTAATAAAACAATATATTGATGAATAGATGGCTGCTACAAATAAGTGAATTGTTGCGGAACTTATGGGTAGACCTCTGCGGAATGAGCGCAGCGAGTTCCGCAGCCATCTATTCATCAATATGTTGTTTAATTACGATACTAGCCTGACTCACTCAAATGTGAGTTATTCTCAGTAGCTTAAAAACTACATGTTTCAAGTGAATGTCTTACTTGAACAGTTCAACAGTATATTGGTGAGTAGATGGCTGCGGAACTCGCTGCGCTCGTCCCGCAGAGGTCCACCCATAGGTTCCGCAACAATTCACTCATTTGTACTTGAATAACTTGTCACATTATATTACTAGTTAGGTGGAGTAACATTACTAATTCCTGTTGAAAATCGAATTAACAAAAAGTGGATAATCTTCCAAATTTGCAGATTATCCACTTTTTGTCAATTTGCCTTTCAACAGGAATTAGTAATGTTACTTTACCAAACTAGTAACATAATGTGATAAATTATTCAAGTTCAAATGAGTGAATTGTTGCGGAACTTATGGGTGGACCTCTGCGGGACGAGCGCAGCGAGTTCCGCAGCCATCTATTCATCAATATGTTGTTTAATTACGATACTAGCCTGACTCACTCAAATGTGAGTTATTCTCATTAGTTTAAACATACATGTTTCAGGTGAATGTCTTACTTGAACAGTTCAACAGTATATTGATGAGTAGAGGTCCACCCATAAGTTTCGCAACAATTAAGTCAAGACTATATTTTTTGAGAAAAAAGCCTTCCGTTACGAGTCTAGAAGCAAATCGTGTTACTTTTCAGCTAATGGTGTTTCCTAGCTAATTTGACCCCGCTGAATCCAAAAATGCCCGTTAACAAGTCGAAATCTCAACCGGAAACGATATATTCAAGATGGCGGCTGTTATTGCCGTGTTGTATTGTACTTGTACTTTGTAGTCTTGTGAATCTTGAATTAAAATTTGATATGTGTGGATTAGTTGATGTGAGTGAGTTGCAGCTGGGGCTTAAGTAGTAATTGAATGATGAATTTATAAATAAATTATAATAATTTGGTCTCTATTATAATCTTAGTACTCTAGAGGAACGAAATTGTTTTTAAAACCACGCCAAAATAAATTCCAAATAATATAGTTACTTACGTAACAAATGCGGAAAGTGATACGCACGCAATGACAGTTTCGCGTCGTTCGGTCAAGCCGATGAGGGCGGTAAAGGCACTTTCTTGCCCGCATATGTTAGGTACAACATTTTAACTATGAGCATCCAAATCTCCAAAAAATGATATTATTGAAATTTATGCAAGAACTTTACGTCATACTTTGTGGTAAAGCAACTTTACCGCACCCTCTGTAGTTTACTTTACAGCTGACTATGCGGTAAAGTTACGCTCGTAGATAAAATAATGTTTTGCTGTATTCAAATTTGACGTTTAGTACACACATTATTCCAAAATATTTGAAACAGCAAATTGAATTAGAAACGTGGGTTTAAAAGTTTGAGAAAACTAAAAATATTATTTCATCCTATTCTGACGTATTACAAGAATGGATAAACCTAAAACGTATCCCAAAAAAAATATACCAATGCTATTATCAAATCAAAAAAATCACAAACTGATAAAGAAACTAAACATGATCTTCAAACAGAAATTAATCCACTAGAATTAAATGCTTCAATAGAATTCATGATATTAAGGAAGGTGGAATTGTACCAGTAACATAATGTGACAAGTTATTCAAGTACAAGTGAGTGAATTGTTGCGGAACTTATGGGTGGATCTCTGCGGGACGAGCGCAGCAAGTTCCGCAGCCATCTATTCATCAATATATTGTTTAATTACCTGACTCACTCAAATGGGAATTATTCTCATTAGTTTAAAAACTACATGTTTCAGGTGAATGTTCTACTTGAACAGTTTAACAATATATTAGTGAGTAGATGGCTGCGGAACTCGCTGCGCTCGTCCCGCAGAGGTCCACCCATAAGTTTCGCAACAATTCACTTATTTTTACTTGAAAAATAATTTATTATACAAAGACAGAATTTGGAAGATTATCCACTTTTTGTTAATTCGCTTTTCAACAGGAATTAGTAATGTTACTTTACCAAACTAGTAACATAATGTGACAATTTATTCAAGTACAAATGAGTGAATAGTTGCGAAATTTATGGGTGAACCTCTGCGGGACGAGCGCAGCGAGTTCCGCAGCCATCTACTCACCAATATACTGTTGAACTGTTTAAGTGAGACATTCACCTGAAACATGTAGTTTTTAAACTAATGAGAATAAATCACATTTGAGTGAGTCAGGTTCGTATCGTAATTAAACAACATATTGATGATTAGATGGCTGCGGATTTCGCTGAGCTCGTCCCGCAGAGGTCCACCCATAAGTTCCGGAACAATTCACTCATTTGTACTTAAATAACTTACCACATTATGTTACTAGTTTGATAAAGTAACATAATTAATTCCTATTGAAAGGCAAATTGACAAAAAGTGAATAATTTTACAAATTTTGACTTTATATATAAGTTATTGTTCAAGTATAAATAAGTGGATTATTGCGGAACTTATGGGTAGACCTCTGTAGGACGAGCGCAGCGAGTTTCGCAGCCATCTACTCACCAATATACTGTTGAACTGTTTAAATAAGACACTCACCTGAAACGTGTACCTTTTAAACTAATGAGAATAACTCACAATTCAGTCAGTCAGGTTAGTATTGTAATTAAACAACATATTGATGAATAGATGGCTGCGGAACTCCACCCATAAATTTCGCAACAATTCACTCATTTGTATTTGAATAACTTGTCACATTATGTTACTAGTTTGGTAAAGTAATATTACTAATTCCTATTGAAAGGCGAATTGACAAAAAGTGAATAAACTTCCATATTCTGACTTTGTACAATAAGTTATTTTTCAAGTACAAATAAGTTAATTGATGGGTGGACCTCTGCGGGACGAGCGCAGCGAGTTCCGCAGCCATCTACTTACCAATATACTGTTGAACTGTTCAAGTATGACATTCACCACATGTAATTTTTAAACTCATAAGAATAACTCACGTTTGAGTGAGTCAGGTTAGTATCATAATTAAACAACATATTGATGAATAGATGGCTGCGGAACTCGCTGCGCTCGTCCCGCAGAGGTCCACCCATAAGTTCCGCAACAATTCACTCATTTGTACTTGAATACCTTGTCACATTATGTTACTAGTTTGGTAAAGTAGGTAACATTACTAAACCCTGTTGAAAGACAAAGTGACAAAAAGTGCTGGAAGCATACTAAATTTCACATTTCTGACATTCAAATTTTGTTTCTGCCCATGGTTTCTAAAAATTCTTTTACCTGTAAAGGTAAAGGCTTTAGGTGGAATGTCAATATATAAAAAAAAACACCCTGTACCTACATAGGAAACTGTATGATGATTCAAAAACTATACATATGATTGAATTCATACTAACATGGAAAGGTTGAGGGAATAGTCAGAAACAGCTCAACACCCAGAAAAACCCGTTACAAATTTGGCGCCCGAGCAGGGACCGAAATTAGATAGCCGTAATTTAGATTATGGAAAGCGATTCCAGTAGAAAATCACAATCACAATCCCTGTTACTAAGAAACTCTCTAGCCAATTAACATCATTGATTCTTTTTATCATCAAGCCTTGATAAGAAACGACCGATTTTATGTGACACTTGCCAGAAAACAATTCTAGGGATTATTACTTTTGTTATTGCCGGCTTTAATTTGTTTTATGGCAAGACAAAAGTCGTTGAAAACAAGCGTAAAAATTTTTATTACGCATTAACAAATCGCTTGATGAAACTTTTCCCATAGGAAAATCAAAAAAAAATCGATCCTATATGTGGTAACGTATTGCTACAGTTGTTGCACCGTATATATACACTTCCAATTAAAGTGGCCCTTGGGGAAATTAAGCAAAGTCCCTCCGGTCCAATCGGCAAACTCCAGATTCGTATATTAAGCACGGTGGCGGAATAATTCTAGTTATCGTTTGCGGATGCATAATATTTACCGAAAAAAAAAAATAATTTGTTATAGAAAAATGAAAATCATGCGCGTTTAACGTTTTGTTCTTCCTAGTGGCACGGAATTCCATCTTCCAGCATCCAGTTGCCGCTAATAGCGACTCCCTTTCGGACCGTCTCGACGCTCTTCGTCCGGTTCACGTGCCGAATCACGTGCGTTTCTTATACATACGCCGGGTTGTTTTTTTGTGTGATTAACTTTGGACTTTAATGTAGTTTATTCTTCACAGGTTAGTAAAGATTTTTCTATGAAAACTTACTCGTTGCCATAAATTCTACTACAAGATAATTACTCCTGATTGGATTTATGAAAGCATTATATTTTATGGAAAACGTCGCATTGGTTTCCAGATAATATTCTCCTTTGTGTGGATTTATTTACCGAACATCTTCCATAGGGGGATAAACAGGGATACGTGAAGCGTTTAGAAACGATAATATTTTACTACAAAAATATCTGCATAGAATTTTGAGATAAAACATAGTAATAGAATCAATTGATTATTTTGGCTTAATGTAAAATTACAGCAATAATTTAGCCTAATAGACAAAAACAAGCTAATCCCATTATAAATAAATAAATCAACTATATACATATTTACACATAATTTCGTTTTCCCAAAATTTAATTGCGTATATATAGTTTGATTTCAATTCAACATCAAATATATTGGATTTTGTTTGACATAATTAATTCGTACCAGGGCCTACAAATTGAGTTTTTAAAATTCAATTATGCGTGTGCCTATATAAAAATTACTCTGTTATAGAGTACCAAAATTGCTTCTGCATTTCGCCTCTAAAAGCCAGTAGAGGCATCTGTCGTTAGGGGCCGTTTAGCGGAATAATCCCCTTAACGAGAGCCTGGCATGCTACTGCTACAAAATTACCCCTTAGAAGAGGCCGAAATTAAGTAAAAGATGAGAAATTGCCAATAAAACCCTAATGATCTTACTGCCGGATGTTTTTCGGAATCATATAAAATTGACTATTAAAGCTAGTCTAACAATAACCATACTATATTACACAGCGATTTTGGCTAAGAGATTTCAAATATCTACAATCAAGTGACGATTTATCTCTATTAGCAGTTAAAATCGGTTACGAAATATATTTCGAACTAATGCGGCGCCGTCCGAAAAACACAACTTTTGCCCGAGAGGTGCAATTATCTCCGAACATCGTTTGTCACATTTTGGCCGCTCCGTATTTCGGCAAAATGTACATTATACTATACACGAGCGACCGGAAAAGTACATTATCGACATATTTCGCAACGGATATTGGCGGTTATTATTGTCATACCTTATCGGTTTTTTTAATTGGATTTGTAGCTTAATGATGAGAATTGTCTAAATTTAGTAAGGACTCTATTAGACAGTGAATGGAAGCTGGGTAATCCAATGACAACAAAACAGAAAACAGTAAAGGTGGTGCTGGTAGAGCCGAAACGAGACGACGCAACCAGTTATACGACAACGAAAGGAAGACAGAATAAATTTGGCGCCCGAGCAGGGACCCAAATATATTGACGTCAGCATAAGACCGAGACGAAGACAGACCTAGACGAAAACAAAACTCCACGCCCAGTGATGAAACATGCGGAAACTCAAACAGACAACCACAGGTGACAGCTTGGAACAATTATAACAATAGTTGCAATATAATAAAAGGAATAGAAATCTTCGAAAAATGGCAGGACATTGCCTCGAAAAAATGGAGAGAGGATATCTTCAAACATGCAGAGATTCAGGTGAGAACCTGCCAGAAAGTAATAAAAATATGGGAGAAGATGTTAAGACTTAAAGAAGAGACCAAAGACGACGAATGGATCGCGTTGCACCACATCGCAGGATACAACAGTACAAAAATATTAAGAAAAATGTATTTCGAATCAAGACGCCGCAAACAGTTATATATATAACAACGAAAGGGAGACAGAACAAATTTGGCGCCCGAGCAGGGACCCAACACAATGACCAAGCGATTTTGTCATCATCAGTCCTCAATTTCTGCGAGAGGCCGTTTGCTTTGGCAACCACCGTAGATCGTACCGTTGTGATGTAATTATCAGACCGCATATCGCTGGAGCGAATGAACCGCTCCTTTTGGACCGTTCCGTGTGTGCCTTATCGTCCGCCCCATATATTGGAGATCTTAACCAATGACAGTTCCTATTGTATTTCGTATCATATTGGACCGAAGTTCTCGGTAAACGCATGCGCAAACAATATTTGTTTTGAAACTTCGCCCATTTTCGAGTAGACCGAGGTCGCTGATATCATTTTGTTTACTCCCTTCTGGAAATTTCCCCGTTGATGTAGTATCTTCTAAGAGTTGTTATATTTCTTAATCAGTCCGAAATTTTAGAGACTTGAACGAATAGTAAACGAGGAAAGGTAGAGTGTGCGCATCAGCCGTCATTTAAGTAGAATCGCACCATCTGTTGCTGGTAAATCGCTGCCCACTTCTCCAAAAATATGGCGTTCGCACTATAATTTTTTTCCGGGAGATAGAGGATAGTGAGGAGCTTATCATAATAAAATTTCAAACTTTTCAGTGAAAAATTACTTGAAAATTAGAAATTTTACAATCAAAATTATCTAAAAAACTCTCAAGCCTTGTACTTCAAACGATAGAATCAAATTCCAAACAATTTCTTGACGTATATTGATAGATTTTGAGCTGATTCTCAATTTAAAATAAATAGCAACTGGCTAGCTTGAATCGTTCAAAAGTTATGTCTATTTTAATATGAGTGAAGACTAAAATCTATGTTTGTCATTAGAAAACTCTCAAACCTTGTACTTCAAACGATAGAAGCAAATTCCTAACAATTTCTTGACATATAGTGCTATATTTTGAGCTGATTTTTGATTTAAAATAAACCCCAACTCGCTAGCTTGAGTCGTTCAAAAGTTATGTACATTTTAAAACGAGTCAAGACTAAAATCGTATGTTTGCCATTAGAAAACACTCAAGCCTTGTACTTGGAACAATAGAAGCAAATTCCAAACAATTTCTTGACGTATACTGATAGAATTTGAGCTGATTTTTAATTTAAAATAAACCGCAACTCGCTAGCTTGCATCGTTCAAAAGTTCTGACCATTTTAAAACGAGTGAAGACTAAAATCTTATGTTTGCCATTAGAAAACTCTCAAGCCTTGTACTTCAAATGATAAGAGCAAATCCCAAATATTTTCTTGAAGTATGTTGATATATTTTGAGCTGATTTTTAATTTAAAATAAACCGCAATCCGCTAGCTTGCATTGTTCAAAAGTTATGGCCATTTTAAACGAGTGAAGACTTAAATATTGTGTTTGCCATTAGAAAACTCTCAAGCCTTGTACTTCAAACGATAGAAGCAAATTCCAAACAATTTCTTGACATATATTGATATATTTTGAGCTGATTTTCAATTTAAAATAAACCGCAACTCGCTAGCTTGAATCGTTCAAAAGTTATGACCATTTTAAAACGAGTGAAGACTAAAATCTTAAGTTTACCATTAGAAAACTATCAAGTCTTGTACAGTTCTGACCGAGCCTCCAGCCCGAGAACACTCAATCCGCAGATTGTTAAGTTGTACACCAAGCTCTACCGCCAGAGTTTTGACCGAGCTACCAGCCCCAGAACACGTAATCCGCAGAGTATTAGGCTGGAACCAAAGCTCGAAGACTTTCAACTGTACCGCCAGAAAAGAGATTCGACAGTCAAAAGTTACTTCATTTCCAACCGCACTACCTAGTGTAAGCCGTAGACCTGCTGTAAGGAAACCGCTGAAAAGTGAAAACCGTTGTCGATTAACCTCCTCCTGTATTTCGCTACCGTTGCAACAATGGAAACCCACCGGTGTCTTAGGGAACCGTATGGGACACAAAATATTCCTTATTTCATAAAGATAATACCTAATGGTATTTGAGTTTTAGGGGACCATAAGAATGTTTACCGAAGAGGAGGGGGTGTGTAACGAAGTTACACCATCATGCAGGCTGAAATAGTTGCGATAACAACATGCGCGGAGATCATCTTGAGAGAGACAATTCCTTATCTGACGGTCTGGATTAGGAGCGATAGCCAAGCAGCTCTTAAGCAAGCACCACGTCGAAAACAGTAAAACACTGCTAAAAAACTGTGGCTGAACTAGCAAAAACTACAAGATGGTCTTTGAATGGGTGCCAGGACACGCTGGGATTGAAGGAAATGAAAAAGTTGATCTTCTCGCAAGAGAAGGATCAGAGAAAACCCTAATTGGACCCCTGCCCACATGCGTAATATCATATTAACATGTAAGAGGCAAACTGGAAGAACAGTTAACAAAGTTACATAAAAAAAACTGTATGGAAGGAATATCTAAGAGCAGAACAGAAGAACTGTTAAGCTTATGCAGGAGACAATTGAGAGATGTGGTTGTATTGTTTCCCAGTTTCCCAGCGGGTACTGAGGTCCCATACGAGAAGCTACTCAGCTATAGTTGTTTTTGAGCCAATATCTCTAGATTGATTATTTCAATTTGTTTGCTAAGATATTCGCTCGTCAGGGTAAGAAAATGTTAGTAAATTCGACAAGGCCCTAATGTACCGAATGATTTTCTATATTTTGCACCCACACTTATCACACCTGTTTGAAGAGATACCCAGAAATGTCAATTGTGGAAGTTGTAGGTAATATCAGAAAGTTTCCAATGATGTTAGTTACCTAGCAGAAGACTCGCTGTGCAACCGATATCAATAAATGCTGCCAGGGTGCACATCTTCCAATCCAGAGACTGTTCAATCCTACACACGACTGCGTGGAGAGCAGTCTCCGTGGATTTCTCTGGTAAATATGCATGTTGGGAGAGAGATGCCTTGTCTGTAATTCTCACTAAAAACGCTTGTCTCTGGAGATGTTAATCCTTCTTCTCCTGATCACATAGTGCCATTTGGGCTCCCAAATGCCCCCGTAACCTTTCAAAGAGGAATGCCTCGTCTGTCTGGAATAGTCTAAATTTTAAATTATTACCAGTTCCTGATGCACTGGACAATCTGCCCCTTATTCCAGCAACTCAAGAGCTGACTTGTGTGTCCGCACACCCCAAGAGAGAATAGAAGTACAAATAAAGTTTTCAGTTGCACACGCATCATTATCTGCACTAATATATGTGCAAAATGCACAAACAAAGTTATACAATAAAACTTTTAGTATTTGAGGAAACCGTCAAGGGGATTTCTCGTGACGGATCGTCCGTAAAACGAGATTTGTCACGAGCAACGGCCCATGTAGACTCCTTATTTTATCCGACTTCAACAAGCACCATCGTACATTATTTATCCTTTGTATATTTGTCTACCTAATACCAAAGTCTAGTGAATTTAATTAGTAATTTCTCTAATTGGCTCCAACATAATATTTTGTTTTTGTGCCCCCCGACATTGTAATTACCGCAATTATATTGTGATTGTTCGATTTGACTAGAATAGTTTTAATTGGAAATATTTACTACAATCAATTTTAATTGGGATTTATTTTTAGGATTTGATGCTTTTGTTAACATACATAAAACCACATAATAAATTATTGTACACAGCGATTGCGGCAAGAAGATTTCTAACTTTTCTATTTTTCCAACGAATTCTATTTGCTTTGAAACGTAGCGTAGCGTCCTCTGTCTATTTAGTTCAACAAATGGGATTATGATGAATAGCGACAGGCCGTCTGATAATTCTCTCATTATTTTCCTACGTAGATTGCTGTTTATTATTTGTCTTTTTCTCATATTATGTACAACTCGATCATTAATAAAGGAGTTATTCGGGCATATTGTGCATTTATGCATAATTTCCTTTATGTCCTTGCACTGTACTTCCTATAAGCGGAGGTACTTGAGCGTAAATAATGACTGCAATTACAAAACGTTGAACATAAGGCAAAAGGAATTTCTAGACTTATCATTTCAAAAAAATGCAAAAAGTTTTTCTAAATTATTAAATCAATAGTAACATAACGTTATCTTGAGGCTGCAGTCTGACAGCTTTTCAATGTCTTTTCTTTCTCTTGCCCTATTTGTCTTCCGAATAATGCGACCCTCCTTATTTAGTTTGATAATTGAAATTATGATGAATAGTGACAGTCCCTGGAAATATTCCCGTATAGTCCAATGTCCAAAATGCATTGCGGTAAAAGCTTCCTAAATAAAGAGATTCGCAAAGTATCGGGAAAATCGGATCGGCATAAAATTCGCAGTCATATATTTTTCACTTTGACTCAATTTTCACCTGACAAATCCATATACACCGAACACAAAAGGGTGGCCTCGGCACTAGCTCACGCGGTGTAAGCGTAAATTGGCATTAAGGCGGGACGGAAATGCAAATTGGAGGATTTAAGGTGGGATAACGTATCGGATTGTGTCTTTTGTACACCGTATATTTCTTGTAATTTGTAAACGATATTTAATACATTATGTTTCGAACGCGCTATCGCAATTTGAGGCTCTAATCCGATTAGCTTCAAAAGTTAATTGCTTTATTAATACTGCGAATACCTCTTTGTCGCTTAATTTTAATTAACTTTCGACGTGTTTTCTATACACAACTCTAACGATAATGATACACATTTCGTTGTAGTACAAAAAAAACACACTTTTCATACACCCCTCCGATTCAACTACGGTCTGATGTTGCCCCAAGAATCGGATCAGTGCGAAATCGGAAAAGGGAATGGGAAAATTTCAGATCAAAGGTGTCGCAGATCTAGAGATTTTCCCACGGTATCGAGTAACTTCCCCGGCTCAAGTGCCTCCGGCTATCAGACCAATACCTGATGGCTCTACTACTTAAATGGTCCACCAGATTCACAGATTTGGGGTTGGCCCGGGTCAAATTCCCAAAATTTCAGATTTCGATCTAGAGATTTTCCCACGATATCGAAAAACTTCCCCGGCTCAAGTGCCCCCAGCTATCAGACCTCTACTACGTGAATGGTCTACCAAATTCACACTTCTCTCATGGAAAATGGATCTCCGACAGATTTTCCTGAATTTTGGATATGCTGTAGTTCTATACACAACTCTAACGATAATGATACACATTTCATTGCAGTACAAAAAAAACAATATATTCGGTGTAATAATAAAACCCCTTTCTAGTTTCCATTAGAACAGTTACGCTGAATGTAAAACACTTTTCGGAACATCGGTACGAGCCAAGAATTCTAAAGCCAAAAGAAAAATTTATATACCGAGATTTCGGGTGAAATAAAAATATACTCAGTTATTAACGGCCGCCTCTGTTTGTATTATCTTAAAAAAGTACGTGTAGAGGTTAGAGAATTGAGTTGTAAAATTCAATGCTAAAAGCAAAACTATAAAATATAAAATTTGAATGGAAGCTCCTTTTTAAAACATCGGGGGTTATAAAAGCATACTCGTGTTATCTTTTGTCTAACTGAATTTTATTCTAAGACGCCCATACTTCATCGGTTCCTTTGTTGGATCAGATTCGCTTTTCTCTCGAGGAATATTACAGCTTCTTTACCTAGCTAAGACGGGCTTTGTTGTTTTGTAGTTTTTTTCCTATTAGCTACAAATTCTATGTCATAAATCCACACATTATCAACTGGAAAAAAGGAAACGATCCCGTGCGGTGTCGTGATGAAATATAGGTATCCTGAGATAACAGATAACAGAGCGGGCCTTTATACACTAAAAGAGTAAAATATGTTTTTCCAGTTTTGGTTTATTTTGCGAGCCAATTATAAATTCCTAATCCCTGAATGTAGAAATTCAAAAACCGCTGTCACCCTTAAGCGTGACAAAGACAAAAACCAAATTAATTGGTCGCAACGGAATCGGGAGGGATTTCAGTCTCTAATCCCCAAAAAACATGCTGTCCTCGTTAATACCGATATGTAAATTGTAATTTTTTTTTTGTTTGTTCAAGGGATGGATAGCCGTCACCACTGGAAGGCGATTCTACAAGTGACAGTTTTCTATTTTTATTTTATCGGTAAGTTACATAAAACCAAATTACTTGTCGTCGAAGTTTGCCGAAAGAAGATTTATGCAGGCAGATGCAACAAATGTAGCAGAAATTAATCGCCCTGGCAATTTGTTTTACGGAGAGAAAATCGAATAAATTGCGTGACACAAGTTTATCTTTTAAGCTGGATTCAGATGGAACGCGCACTAAAACATTTCAAGCGCAATTCATAATACTATACGTAGTAGTGACATCTTAACATGGGCCATGGGAGGTGAGCTGCTCGTGGGGGGATGAATCAGAGGAGTGAATCCGTCATTGACTTGACCAAAATAAGGCCGGAACATACTTGTCTTTTGCCCTAAGAATCGGATCGGTGCAGGATCGGAAAAGGGAAAGGGGGAAATTTCAGATCAAAGGCGCCGCCGATCTATAGATTTTCCCACGGTTTCGAAAAACTTCCCAGGCTCAAGTGCCCCCAGCTATCAGACCAATACCCACCTCTACTACCCAAAAGAGGTGTGCGGGGTCCTAAATAGGCCGTCAAGATTTTTCGACGTTTGTACTAGGGTTGCTGCATTTACCAAGGTTGCTGCGTTTTTAATTTAGGACGGATTAAATGGAAATTAATGACAATTGGAGCTCCAAAAACTAGGCCTACTTTAAAACGTCGGTTTTTTGACGTTTGTTGAGACGTTTTTTTTTTTGAGATTGTAGCCCTTGATGAGGGCTTTCAAATGGTACTTGGTTGAAGTCGCTGGCATTTACGGTTTTTGAAAAAATCGAGTTTGAAGTTTTTGACCAAATTTCAACTAAAATCCAACTTTGAGGCTCAATTGCTCTAAAAGTATTAGAGTTATCAAACTCTGTCTAGCACTGATTTATAGAGAATTCGATACTCTTTCCAACCATATATAATTTATTTTGTTTTGCTCAAAGTTTAATAGAAGTATTGGCAATTACTCCTAACCTTGTCAGGATTTTAAAAAAATTTAAACCTAAAAATTGAGATTTTCTTTTTAATTTTTCTCTGTGTTGAAATCAAGATTTTGTAATGATGATGAAAGTTTTTTTCTACTAATTTAGACCCGCTCTATCGATTGAAAAAGTCAAAATTCAAAAACTCTGAAAAATAAAAATTTCGACTTTTTCAAAGGGTGAAATTTCACCAGACCTAGCATCATTAGCTGAATGGAAAATACACTTTGATGGTCCACCAGATTCACAAGCAAAATATGTCTCCCATCATTGCTTTCAATGTAAGAATATTTGACGATACGGTAACGTGACAGTACCGGTACGAATAGTATAAATCGCGCCTCACTCGGTAAAAGGTTGAGGTTAATTTTTATCACAATTACGACCCTAATGGTTAAATTAAGACGTGTACGACATAATGGAAAAAAAGTTGGGGTACGTGTTTCAGGAGATTCTCCTCCGCCTGCGAAATAAAGGCGACAGCCAGAAAAACTATCATCACTCTCTCGGCCTGCCTGCTGCTGCTTGTACAGACGTGACTTTGCAACTTTGGCAATCGCCCTCGTCGCATTAATCATACACACCGGGAAAATGGGGGAGCTCTCTATGTACTTCATTAAAAATGTCCTTTAATGATAATTGATATTTCAGTCAATTAACAACACCAGTCTTCATTTAAATTTAACCAAAAGTATTCCAATATCTGAGTCAGGTGCAGTAGATTGATGTGAAACTAGTGTAAATTTTAATGGTTCCTATTCCGGATGCAACAGTCATTTCCCCATTATAGGTCGTAATCCGAGCCCGGCCGGGAGTCTTATATGTAGAGCAAGGAAAGCTCCGACATCTGTCTCCAATTTTATAGATGACAAGAAGGTAATTTCTTCAGTTACGAGCGCACAGCCTGGCACCCTTATACGATTCGGGTTTGTTTTAAAAATCTAGTTCGAGGTTAATCAAATTTTTAAGTGTTGTTTATGAAAATTTAAATTTCCAAGTTTCTTTGCCCGATGGATTCGACGATAAAAGTACAATGGAAACCCATTTAGTTTGGCAAAGGCCTGAGGACTTTCGTTGACCAGAATGCAAAAACTTTTGCTCCTTTCTCTCCGAGACTAAAACTAACCCCCATTCAGTGAAAAAGTTTTTCTGTTGCTTCTGTTTTTATAGGAAAGTAATTGGAATGAATAATGTACGGGAAAATAGTTATTTGTTTTAGTACTAAGCAGAAAAGTACGAGATTTAATGCCGCGGCTGGTGTTTCAGGAAACCAGCCAAGGCAAAATATTGAGCGGAGAACCACGCAACTTTCTCTAACAACACCAAACAAAAATCGAAAAGATCTGTAGGGTCATGATAACTTAGTTGGTTAGACCGTAGCACCGGCAATGCTGAGGACGCAGGTTGGAATCCCGCCCAAGACCAAATTTTTTAATCCTCCAATTTTCCTCAAACTCTCTCTTCATTTTCAATTTCCACGCTTTTCAGTTGTTGTAACGTAACCGACAAAACTTCATCCTTATTCACGGTTTTTGAGAAAATCGAGTTTAAAGTTTTTGACCAAATTTCAACTAAAATCCAACTTTGAGGCTCAATTGCTCTAAAAGTATTTGATTTATCAAACTCAATCTAGCACTGATTTATAGAGAATTTGATGCTCTTAACAACCATATATAATTTATTTTGATTTGCTCAAAATTTAATAGAAGTATTGGCAATTACTCCTAACCTTGTCAGGATTTTAAAAAAAAAACCTAAAAATTGAGATTTTCTTTTTAATTTTGCTCTGTGTTAAAATCAAGATTTTGTAATGATGTTAGAGTTTTTTTCGACTAATTTAGACCCGCAAAAACTCTGAAAAATAAAAATTTTTTCAAAGGGTTACCCCTTTGGATTTTAATTTCAAAATTTTCAAACTCAATTTTCTCGAAACCCGTCAAAGATTTTGGATCAATTTTTTTTGAGATTGTAGCCCTTGATAAGGGCTTCAAAATGGTTTTTAGTTGAAGTCGCTGGCATTTACGGTTTTTGAGAAAATCGAGTTTCAAGTTTTTGACCAAATTTCAACTAAAATCCAACTTTGAGGCTCAATTGCTTTGAAAGTATTTGAGTTATCAAACTCAATCTAGCACTGATTTATAGAGAATTTGATGCTCTTTCCAACCATATATAATTAATTTTGATTTGCTCAAAATTTAATAGAAGTATAAAATTGAGATTTTCTTTTTAATTTTGCTCTGTGTTAAAATCAAGATTTTGTAATGATGTTAGAGTTTTTTTCGATTGATTTAGACTCGCTCTATCGATTGGAAAAGTCAAAATTCAAAAAATCTGAAAAATAAAAATTTCGATTGGAATTTAATTTCAAAATTTTCAAACTCAGTTTTCTCGAAACCCGTCAAAGATTTTGGATCATTTTGAGATTGTAGCCCTTGATGAGGGCTTCAAAATGGTACTTAGTTGAAGTCGCTGGCATTCACGGTTTTTGAGAAAATCGAGTTTCAAGTTTTTGACCAAATTTCAACTAAAATCCAACTTTGAGGCTCAATTGCTCTAAAAGTATTTGAGTTATCGAACTCAATCTAGCACTGATTTATAGAGAATTTGATGCTCTTTCCAACCATATATAATTTATTTTGATTTGCTCAAAATTTAATAGAAGTATTGGCAATTACTCCTAACCTTGTCAGGATTTTAAAAAGATTTAAACCTAAAAATTGAGATTTTCTTTTTAATTTTTCTCTGTGTTAAAATCAAGATTTTGTTATGATGTTAGAGCTTTTTTCGACTAATTTAGACCCGCTCTATCGATTGGAAAAGTCAAAATTCAAAAAATCTGAAAAATAAAAATTTCGATTTTTTCAAAGAGTTACCCCTTTGGATTTTAATTTCAAAATTTTCAAACTCAATTTTCTCGAAACCCGTCAAAGATTTTGGATCAATTTTTTTTGAGATTGTAGCCCTTGATGAGGGCTTCAAAATGGTACTTAGTTGAAGTCGCTGGCATTCACGGTTTTTGAGAAAATCGAGTTTCAAGTTTTTGACCAAATTTCAACTAAAATCCAACTTTGAGGCTCAATTGCTCTAAAAGTATTTGAGTTATCGAACTCAATCTAGCACTGATTTATAGAGAATTTGATGCTCTTTCCAACCATATATAATTTATTTTGATTTGCTCAAAATTTAATAGAAGTATTGGCAATTACTCCTAACCTTGTCAGGATTTTAAAAAGATTTAAACCTAAAAATTGAGATTTTCTTTTTAATTTTTCTCTGTGTTAAAATCAAGATTTTGTTATGATGTTAGAGCTTTTTTCGACTAATTTAGACCCGCTCTATCGATTGGAAAAGTCAAAATTCAAAAAATCTGAAAAATAAAAATTTCGATTTTTTCAAAGAGTTACCCCTTTGGATTTTAATTTCAAAATTTTCAAACTCAATTTTCTCGAAACCCGTCAAAGATTTTGGATCAATTTTTTTTGAGATTGTAGCCCTTGATGAGGGCTTCAAAATGGTACTTAGTTGAAGTCGCTGGCATTCACGGTTTTTGAGAAAATCGAGTTTCAAGTTTTTGACCAAATTTCAACTAAAATCCAACTTTGAGGCTCAATTGCTCTAAAAGTATTTGAGTTATCGAACTCAATCTAGCAGTGATTTATAGAGAATTGATGCTCTTTCCAACCATATATAATTTATTTTGATTTGCTCAAAATTTAATAGAAGTATTGGCAATTGCTCCTAACCTTGTCAGGATTCAAAAAAATTTTAACCTAAAAATTGAGATTTTCCTTTTAATTTTGCTCTGTGTTAAAATCAAGGTTTTGTAATGATGTAAGAGTTTTTTTCGACTAATTTAGACCCGCTCTATCGATTGGAAAAGTCAAAATTCAAAAACTCTGAAAAATAAAAATTTCGATTTTTTCAAAGGGTTACCCCTTTGGATTTTAATTTCAAAATTTTCAAACTCAATTTTCTCGAAACCCGTCAAAGATTTTGGATCAATTTTTTTTGAGATTGTAGCCCTTGATGAGGGCTTCAAAATGGTACTTAGTTGAAGTCGCTGGCATTCACGGTTTTTGAGAAAATCGAGTTTCAAGTTTTTGACCAAATTTCAACTAAAATCCAACTTTGAGGCTCAATTGCTCTAAAAGTATTTGAGTTATCGAACTCAATCTAGCACTGATTTATAGAGAATTTGATGCTCTTTCCAACCATATATAATTTATTTTGATTTGCTCAAAATTTAATAGAAGTATTGGCAATTACTCCTAACCTTGTCAGGATTTTAAAAAGATTTAAACCTAAAAATTGAGATTTTCTTTTTAATTTTTCTCTGTGTTAAAATCAAGATTTTGTTATGATGTTAGAGCTTTTTTCGACTAATTTAGACCCGCTCTATCGATTGGAAAAGTCAAAATTCAAAAAATCTGAAAAATAAAAATTTCGATTTTTTCAAAGAGTTACCCCTTTGGATTTTAATTTCAAAATTTTCAAACTCAATTTTCTCGAAACCCGTCAAAGATTTTGGATCAATTTTTTTAAAGATTGTAGCCCTTGATGAGGGCTTCAAAATGCTACTTAGTTAAAGTCGCTGGCATTCACGGTTTTTGAGAAAATCGAGTTTCAAGTTTTTGACCAAATTTCAACTAAAATCCAACTTTGAGGCTCAATTGCTCTAAAAGTATTTGAGTTATCAAACTCAATCTAGCACTGATTTATAGAGAATTTGATGCTCTTTCCAACCATATATAATTTATTTTGATTTGCTCAAAATTTAATAGAAGTATTGGCAATTGCTCCTAACCTTGTCAGGATTCAAAAAAAATTTAAACCTAAAAATTGAGATTTTCCTTTTAATTTTGCTCTGTGTTAAAATCAAGATTTTGTAATGATGTTAGAGTTTTTTTCGACTAATTTAGACCCGCTCTATCGATTGGAAAAGTCAAAATTCAAAAACTCTGAAAAATAAAAATTTCGACTTTTTCAAAGGGTGAAATTTTATCAGACCTAGCATCATTAACTCTCTCTTCATTTTCAATTTCCACGCTTTTCGGTTGTTGTAACGTAACCGATAAAACTTCATCCTTACCATGTATATAATAATACACCTTTTGAGCGTGTCAAGTATAAATAAAAAGTCGCTTTTACTGTCATTCGAAAATAAATTTATTTTATTCAATTAATCTCCAAGCCCTGTACTACAGCACTCGTAAAGCCTAGGATCGTTAAGCCCCATACCCTGTATTACAGCACTCATAAAACCTAGCAAACCTAGGATCATTCACATCTCTGACCGGTGCAGCATTTCCATTATAAGCCCTGCCAGTTGTAGATGCAGCGTACGGTGCAGCGACATTGAAAACTGGATCCAACTTCGAGTTTTTGATAATAACTTGACCGTTTCTCGGTTGCCCGGCGTCCCAGGTTCTGGCCAAAAAGCCGTGATGCGTCGCGAAAAACGCAGGATCTCCAGTTATGGTACTACCAATCACCAAAAATCCGAATTTATGGTCCGGAGTGCTAGGCGCAAATATTACTCCCGTGTCCGATCTGCGGTCAGCCTTGAGATGAAAAACGCATCCGACGAATACGGCCGAAGCGGAGCCGAAGACAAAATCTATGTCACCTTCTATGTAAACATTTTGGAAATAATTTCTCAATATCCTCGCTGTACTAGTTCCGACATTTCAATGTATCTTGATGTCCCAACAGTTTGCAATTTCTTACTTGGACACGATCGGCTTCGATGGTGAGGGCTACCGCTTGATCACTACCAGGCCTTTTCGAAAAATTTTCAATGGTCAAATGGATAAGTTCCACGCCGTCCGCATCTACCCGAAGCACATTGGAACAACTGGTTCCAATAATCGGTCTGCTTGCGCACGAGGCGAAAATACCATGAGCGGTACTGGCTGGAGGGAAGAATTTACCCACAAGTGCCCCATAACTACCTCCAGTGGTTGCTGGTGATAGATCAAATGTTATAAATGTGGTAGCTTCTGAACTTCCGTAAATAGTCAATGGCACTCTTGTGGGTGGAATATAAGCAACTTGTTGGTATCTGCCTGGATTGATGTAAATATACTTTCTCGTTGGGGAATTTGTCCTAATGGCTGCATCTATAGCTTCCTGGAGGGTACCAAAGCCTCCGGGTGCGCCTACTTTGAAATCAGCAGGCCTTAGTATTGGAGTCGGAGGAGCCCACCCTTGAAGGAAGGAGGCTGGAGTGAAAGCGGCAGCTTCCCTTGGGTTCAGAATTGGTCTTAAGCGGGTGCCAGGAGGGGTCTGGTTCGCTTCTGAGCAGGCCGCAATGAATAAAATAGCTGCGAAAATCGATTTGTAAAGCGGGATGAATTATTTTAATTTTGCACTTACCTAGTATTGACTTCATCTTGTTGCACTATGATTTGTATTGAGTTTCAGCCTGCATTTATACTAGTTTGTTATCGCGAGGGAAAAAACTTAAGATTTTAACAGAAATTGGTAATTTCCATTTGCTTGGATACAACTAAACGAGCAACTAAATCACCTTTTTTTTTGTTGCTGATAAAAATTTATTAGATCATGTTTTATTTATGGGTTTTTTGAGTCTTTTCGAGAGAGGAAAATACATTTTTGATGCGAACTTTTCATCGCCACAGGGAAATACTTTGCTTTAAAACTCGGTAATGCAAAAGTTTTTCCTTTATATTTTTATTTAAAAAAAAAAAAATCTTTTTTTTTTCTCTGTCTTTGCGCGAATTAATTATATTTTAAGCTGATCAATGATGCTAGTCTCTCATCTTGTCTCAGAAACAAGATTTCAATTGATAAATTTTGTAATTTTAAAGTCACTGTGAGAGGATTTGCAATGGAATAATTCTTCTTGGCTCGGTTTAAATTTCAAATTAAAAAATATTTAACGATATTCATTCTAATATCAATCAAAATAGCGTTTGAAAATTGTTTGCCAATTGCATAAGTAAACAGAAATTTCAAATTTAAATTTTCAAGCTATAATAAAAAGGAATTAAAATTTTCTGACTGTGTATAGTTTTGAATGGGCTTTTCCACTAAATTCTGAAATTGGTATATAAAAAGCCATCTTAACATAGATTCAGGGAATATTTACAACTTTCTTCTACCTGTAAAGGTAAAGGCTGTAAGTGGGGTGTCAATATATAAAAAAACACTCTGTACAAATAAGTGGATTATAGCGGAACTTATGGGTGAACCTCTGCTGGACGAGCGCAGTGAGTTCCGCAGCCATCTAATCATCAATATACTGTTGAACTGTTCAAGTAAGACATTTACCTAAAACGTGTAGTTTTTAAACTAATGAGAATAATTTACATTTGAGTGAATCAGGTTAGTATCGTAATTAAACAATATATTGATGAATAGATGGCTGCGGTCCTACTGGTCCTACTGGTCCCTCGTGATACCCTGAACTCCATACACAAAATTATTCTCAGATTTGAAGCCGAAATCTAGGAAAAAAGGCACTCATAAAAATTGATAAATCATCCCAATTGCTTAACACGATTTTATCTCAGGAACTATAAGTGCAAATGAGCTGAAGTTTTCAGGGATTGTAGTCCTTTGAAAGGGATAAAATTCAGTGAAAGATTCAGCTTTCTATCTATAATAGAAAAAAAGTTACGACCATTGAAAGTTTTCCGAAAAAATCATAAGGGGGGTACCTTCTTACTAAAATGATGAAATTTCAAAATTTTTTTTGTCGAGATTTTGGGTCTTACTGGTCCCTCGTGATACCCTGAACTCCATACACAAAATTATTCTCAGATTTGAAGCCGAAATCTATGGAAAAAGGCACTCAGAAAAATTGAAAAATTGATAAATCATCCCAATTGCTTAACACGATTTTATCTCAGGAACTATAAGTGCAAATGAGTTGAAATTTTCAGGGATTGTAGTTCTTTAAAAATGATGAAATTTAGTGAAAGATTCAGCTTTCTACCTATAATAGAAAAAAAGTTACGACCATTGAAAGTTTTCCGAAAAAATCACAAGGGGGGTACCTTCTTACTAAAATGATGAAATTTCAAAATTTTTTTTGTCGAGATTTTGGGTCTTACTGGTCCCTCGTGATACCCTGAACTCCATACACAAAATTATTCTCAGATTTGAAGCCGAAATCTATGGAAAAAGGCACTCAGAAAAATTGAAAAATTGATAAATCATCCCAATTGCTTAACACGATTTTATCTCAGGAACCATAAGTGCAAATGAGCTGAAATTTTCAGGGATTGTAGTCCTTTGAAAATGATGAAATTCAGTGGAAGATTCAGCTTTCTATCTATAATAGAAAAAAAGTTACGACCATTGAAAGTTTTCCGAAAAAATCATAAGGGGGGTACCTTCTTACTAAAATGATGAAATTTCAAATTTTTTTTTGTCGAGATTTTGGGTCCCACTGGTCCCTCGTGATACCCTGAACTCCATACACAAAATTATTCTCAGATTTGAAGCCGAAATCTATGGAAAAAGGCACTCAGAAAAATTGAAAAATTGATAAATCATCCCAATTGCTTAACACGATTTTATCTCAGGAACTATAAGTGCAAATGAGCTGAAATTTTCAGAGATTGTAGTCCTTTGAAAATGATGAAATTCAGTGAAAGATTCAGCTTTCTATCTATAATAGAAAAAAAGTTACGACCATTGAAAGTTTTCCGAAAAAATCATAAGGGGGGTACCTTCTTACTAAAATGATGAAATTTCAAATTTTTTTTTGTCGAGATTTTGGGTCTTACTGGTCCCTCGTGATACCCTGAACTCCATACACAAAATTATTCTCAGATTTGAAGCCGAAATCTATGGAAAAAGGCACTCAGAAAAATTGAAAAATTGATAAATCATCCCAATTGCTTAACACGATTTTATCTCAGGAACTATAAGTGCAAATGAGCTGAAATTTTCAGGGATTGTAGTCCTTTGAAAATGATGAAATTCAGTGAAAGATTCAGCTTTCTATCTATAATAGAAAAAAAGTTACGACCATTGAAAGTTTTCCGAAAAAATCATAAGGGGGGTACCTTCTTACTAAAATGATGAAATTTCAAATTTTTTTTTGTCGAGATTTTGGGTCTTACTGGTCCCTCGTGATACCCTGAACTCCATACACAAAATTATTCTCAGATTTGAAGCCGAAATCTATGGAAAAAGGCACTCAGAAAAATTGAAAAATTGATAAATCATCCCAATTGCTTAACACGATTTTATCTCAGGAACTATAAGTGCAAATGAGCTGAAATTTTCAGGGATTGTAGTCCTTTGAAAATGATGAAATTCAGTGAAAGATTCAGCTTTCTATCTATAATAGAAAAAAAGTTACGACCATTGAAAGTTTTCCGAAAAAATCATAAGGGGGGTACCTTCTTACTAAAATGATGAAATTTCAAATTTTTTTTTGTCGAGATTTTGGGTCCCACTGCTCCCTCGTGATACCCTGAACTCCATACACAAAATTATTCTCAGATTTGAAGCCGAAATCTATGGAAAAAGGCACTCAGAAAAATTGAAAAATTGATAAATCATCCCAATTGCTTAACACGATTTTATCTCAGGAACTATAAGTGCAAATGAGCTGAAATTTTCAGAGATTGTAGTCCTTTGAAAATGATGAAATTCAGTGAAAGATTCAGCTTTCTATCTATAATAGAAAAAAAGTTACGACCATTGAAAGTTTTCCGAAAAAATCATAAGGGGGGTACCTTCTTACTAAAATGATGAAATTTCAAATTTTTTTTTGTCGAGATTTTGGGTCTTACTGGTCCCTCGTGATACCCTGAACTCCATACACAAAATTATTCTCAGATTTGAAGCCGAAATCTATGGAAAAAGGCACTCAGAAAAATTGAAAAATTGATAAATCATCCCAATTGCTTAACACGATTTTATCTCAGGAACTATAAGTGCAAATGAGCTGAAATTTTCAGAGATTGTAGTCCTTTGAAAATGATGAAATTCAGTGAAATATTCAGCTTTCTATCTATAATAGAAAAAAAGTTACGACCATTGAAAGTTTTCCGAAAAAATCATAAGGGGGGTACCTTCTTACTAAAATGATGAAATTTCAAATTTTTTTTTGTCGAGATTTTGGGTCTTACTGGTCCCTCGTGATACCCTGAACTCCATACACAAAATTATTCTCAGATTTGAAGCCGAAATCTATGGAAAAAGGCACTCAGAAAAATTGAAAAATTGATAAGTCATCCCAATTGCTTAACACGATTTTATCTCAGGAACTATAAGTGCAAATGAGCTGAAATTTTCAGAGATTGTAGTCCTTTGAAAATGATGAAATTCAGTGAAATATTCAGCTTTCTATCTATAATAGAAAAAAAGTTACGACCATTGAAAGTTTTCCGAAAAAATCATAAGGGGGGTACCTTCTTACTAAAATGATGAAATTTCAAATTTTTTTTTGTCGAGATTTTGGGTCTTACTGGTCCCTCGTGATACCCTGAACTCCATACACAAAATTATTCTCAGATTTGAAGCCGAAATCTATGGAAAAAGGCACTCAGAAAAATTGAAAAATTGATAAATCATCCCAATTGCTTAACACGATTTTATCTCAGGAACTATAAGTGCAAATGAGCTGAAATTTTCAGAGATTGTAGTCCTTTGAAAATGATGAAATTCAGTGAAATATTCAGCTTTCTATCTATAATAGAAAAAAAGTTACGACCATTGAAAGTTTTCCGAAAAAATCATAAGGGGGGTACCTTCTTACTAAAATGATGAAATTTCAAATTTTTTTTTGTCGAGATTTTGGGTCTTACTGGTCCCTCGTGATACCCTGAACTCCATACACAAAATTATTCTCAGATTTGAAGCCGAAATCTATGGAAAAAGGCACTCAGAAAAATTGAAAAATTGATAAATCATCCCAATTGCTTAACACGATTTTATCTCAGGAACTATAAGTGCAAATGAGCTGAAATTTTCAGGGATTGTAGTCCTTTGAAAATGATGAAATTCAGTGAAAGATTCAGCTTTCTATCTATAATAGAAAAAAAGTTACGACCATTGAAAGTTTTCCGAAAAAATCATAAGGGGGGTACCTTCTTACTAAAATGATGAAATTTCAAATTTTTTTTTGTCGAGATTTTGGGTCCCACTGCTCCCTCGTGATACCCTGAACTCCATACACAAAATTATTCTCAGATTTGAAGCCGAAATCTATGGAAAAAGGCACTCAGAAAAATTGAAAAATTGATAAATCATCCCAATTGCTTAACACGATTTTAATCTCAGGAACTATAAGTGCAAATGAGCTGAAATTTTCAGAGATTGTAGTCCTTTGAAAATGATGAAATTCAGTGAAAGATTCAGCTTTCTATCTATAATAGAAAAAAAGTTACGACCATTGAAAGTTTTCCG